TACTGTGGTTGCATAAACCTCCCTGGGGTATCATTCAATCTACACTGTTCCTTTCCTTCAATCTGACAATCTCCTGAGGTCTGAATGCTGAAACACGCTTGGAGCAGGAGTGGTGGGCGGGCCATCAGCCTACCTGGGTTTGAGGAGCCCTGAGGGGGAACGAGACGGGTTCCAGACACGCTTGTGAGGACGTGGGCTCCAACCTCCACCCTCTGGCCATGTGTCAGGGCCTCCCACCAAGGCCCTGAGGCAGGTTCCCGTTTATGTCTTCCTTTCTCCCTCTTAAACACACGTTGCCCCCTCCAGCCAAGTCTCGTTTCGTCAGTGCTGCTCAGGGTCAGTCTACTGACCTGACTGATTTGACTCTACTGTTTGCATTTTTTGGTGACTGGGCAGTGGGGCTACATTTGGGGTGGGGTCCTAACTGGAGCCCCTGGGCTCAGCCCCCACCCTCGGGTGGCTCTGCTCCATCTTCCCTTCAGTGTCCGGATGGCAGGTAGAGCTCCTCTCAGTTTTCTCTCTTCTGCACTAAGTGAACCTCCCATCTCTGCCTCTGTCCCCGCCTCTCTCCCCCCTCACCAGGAATACCACCCGTCATGTTTGATGAGACAGCAAGATTGCGTTCTTCTTGTTCGACATGATTCCACGGGTTCCTTGACATGGAAAACTCCTTAGGGCAGAAACGTGGTTCAGCACAATTTCATCTATTATTCAACGATCTCTGTGTAGCTCTGGTGTCTTGTAAGTGATAAATTATTATAAAGAAAGAAAATCTGCTTGCCAGTTAGTCTGGGGAAATGCAAGATCAAATTCTTCCAGCCAGCATTATTCACCCCCATCGTGAGCCCAAGACTGGGGCTCCTAGCCCCTGAGAGGGGTTTCTGTCCACCGCCTATCCTAGCACAGGTGACCCTTACATCTTCCTGTCACCTCCATTTCTCCAGTCGTGGTGGGATCACTGTGCAGCGAATCTGAGGCTCAGAAGATCCTTCATGTCAGTTACGCACTCAGCCACTGCCCCCCGGCCCCCATCCTGGTTCTGACACAGGGAGCGGCCCTGACCCTCCATCTCCATGACACCCTGTCCTGGTCCCTCATGTTCCCCTCAGCCATGCCTTCATCTCCCCTCCTGCTTCATCATGGAGTCAGTCACCACGGCACTCAATAGCCTTGAATTTATTCTACATTAAACATCCTTTGAGGAATTTGCAATTAGAAGTAAAAATAATGATGATCATTAAGAAATTATAATTTCCAAAGCATGTTCTACTGTACTATTTCTGTGACATACTCTGACAGATTTTTTTTACAAAGGGAGAGGGTTCTATCTTAAATAGTTTGGAGAAGTCGTCTTTAAACTTATTGATTGATTGATTATTTGTTCTCTTATTGCTGTGGCACTCCTCAGAAAAGTCAAATGTGAGTGAATTTACAAGAAAGCTTGTTGCTGTTGTTCAGTCGCTAAGTCATGTCCGACTCTTTGCGACACCAAGGACTGTAGCACGCCAGGTTTCTCTGTCCTTCAGTATCTCCTGGAGTTTGATACAATTCATGTCCATTGAGTTGGTGAAGCTATCTAACCTTTATCTCATCATCTGCTGCCTCCTTCTCCTCCTGCATTCAGTCTTTGCCAGCATCAGGGTCATTTCCAATGAGTTGGCTCTTCACATTAGGTGACCGAAGTATTGGAGCTTCAGCTTCAGCATCAGTCCTTCCAATGAATATTCAGGGTTGATTTCCTTTAGGACTGATTAATTGGTTTGATCTCCTTACTATCCAAGGGACTCTCAAGAGTCTTCTCCAGCACCATAGTCCCAAAGCATCAATTCCTCAGTGTCCGCCTTCTCCATGGTCCATCTCTCACATCCGTACATGATTACTGGTATACAGACCTTTGCTGGCAAAGTGACGTCTCTGCTTTTTAATACGTGGTCTAGGTTTGTTATAGCTTTCCTTCCAAGGAATAAGCATCTTTTAATTTCAAGACTGCAGTCACCATTTGTGGTAATTTTTGAGCCCAAGAAAAGAAAATCTGTCACTGCTTCCACATTTTCCCCTTCCACTTGCCATGAAGTAATGGGACTGGATGCCATGATTTTAGTTTTTTGAATGTTGAGTTTCAGGCCAGCCTTTTCATTCTCTTCTTTTACCTTCATCAAGAGGCTCTTTAGTTCTTCTTCACTTTCTGCCTTTAGAGTGGTATCATCTGTACATCTGAGGTTATTGATATTTCTCCTAGCAATCTTCGGAGAAGGCAATGGCAACCCAGTCAAATACTCTTGTATGGAAAATCCCATGGATGGAGGAGCCTGGTAGGCTGCAGTCTATGGGGTCGCGAAGAGTTGGACATGGCTGAGTGACTTTACTTTCACTTTTCACTTTCATGCATTGGAGAAGGAAAGGGCAACCCACTCCACTGTTCTTGCCTGGAGAATCCCAGGGATGGGGGAGCCTGGTGGGCTGCTGTCTATGGGGTCACACAGAGTCGGACACAACTGAAGTGACTTAGCAGCAGCAGCAGCCTAGCAATCTTGATTACAACTTGAACTTCATCCAGTCTGGCATTTTGCATGATGTACTCTGCATAGAAGTTAAATAAGCAGAGTGATAATATGCGGCTTTGATGTACTCCTTTCCCAATTTTGAACCAGTCAGTTGCTCCACGCCCAGTTCTGTTGCTTCTTGACCTGCATGTGGGTTTCTTGGGAGGCAGGTAAGGTGGTCTGGTATTCATGTCTCCAAGAATTTGCCACAGTTTGTTGTGATCCAGACAGTTAAAAGCATTAGCGTAGACAATGAAGCAGAAGTAGATGTTTTTCTGGAATTCCCTTACTTTCTTGATGATCCAACAGATGTTGGCAATTTGATCTCAGGTTCCTCTGCCTCTTTGAAACCCTGCTTGTACATCTGGATGTTCTTGGTCCCCTACTGCTGAAGCCTAGCTTGAAGGATTTTGAGCATAACCCACTAGCTTGTGAAATAAGTGCAATTGTATAGGTAGTTTAAACATTCTTTGACATTGCCCTTCTTTTGCTGTTTGGTTTTTTTCCTGAATTTGTTTGACCTTTACCTGCTCCCTCTTTTTTTTCCTATTATAGTGCCTGATGGGTTGGTTTGGGAAAACTTCATACAAATGTTGCCTGAGAGTGTCCTTGACTGTCTACCGGAGGTCCTGAACATGACCCTGTCTCATCAGGGCGACGAGTTGGGGATGCAGAGGGCCTGCGGCTGCAGGGTCACCTGCTAATGGCACAACCAGCGTTTCTTCTCTGTTGACTCAAGAGCACATTTCTGTTTTTGTGCACGGGCTGCCAAGTGCCAGGTTCCATGTCATGCCCTGACTGGCTCCTCTGCTAGGGCCTCAGTGGTGGGGCCACTTCCGTCTCCAGGAACTGAAGCCCCACTGAGTTTGGTGGGGAAGGGTTTGGGCTCAGATGCAGGCTCTGAGTTGACGCTGCAAATTATTTGTCAAAGGGCCCAGACTCCTCGAGTCCCAGTTCAGGCTCTGGGAGATGACAGCCCATAGGCTTTGACAGACACCGGGAAACTCCTTCAAAGTTACAGAAACTTTTGTTCAGCTGGTGGTCAACAAAAGATGCAGTGAGGGTGGGAAATGCTCATAGAGCCTCTATAACTGATGCCAGGGAGTGATCCTGGAGCCCAGAAAACCCCATGGGAGAGACTCATGGAGCTAAAGTGAGGGCTACCCGCCTTGGCCCTTCCCATGTCAAGGTCAAGGTCAAGGTGTGGGCTGTCCGCTTCTGATGTGACTGTCTCCCTAGCAACTGTCTCCACGGCAGCGTCTCCTGCTGGACTCACAAAGGCTCACCGGGTCCCAGACCATGTTAAGCAATTGTGACTACACTAGTGAGGAGCCCATGATGACACACCATGATGATGGGTCTTTCTTTTGAAGAGTTGGAAGTCTTTGTGAAGGCTCACAGCCACGAATGACAGTAATGAAATGAAAATAAAACCTTTCAAGCCAAGTCCTCTGGATTTTCCCTTCTTTCTTTGTTTTTGATATGTGTGTGTAACAAAATGAAGCATATATTTAGGCGACTGTGATAAGTTTTTTAATTTTTTTAAAGAAAACATCATCTCTAAAGCAATTCCCTATCACCTGGGCCCAATCACAAGCCCACAGGTAGACCCGGAGCCCACCTGGAAGTGAGGGGTTCATGGTGAGCTTCCTGATGTTGTGGGTTGTTAAGGCCTGTCTCTCTGTGCACGGTGCAAACTCCGCCCAGCCTGAGCAGCTGCAGAGGCTGCTAGGTAGGGTGCCTCAGAGGGGGAGCAGGGTGCCCCTGGGAGCTGGCTGCAGGGCAAGCCCTGGAGCCCAGGGGTCACTCTGATCACACCCTTCCTAGGGGGAGGCCTGGGCAGGAGGTGGCTGCAGGCCCCCAGGCCAGAAGGGAGCACCTGGAAGGAGGTGGATGGCCAGGATGGGGTGCCGCGTCGGGGAATGGCATGCTAGGACGGGCCCCCACAGAACCTTGTGCCTCTCTGGGCCTGCCTTCCAGGCTGGTTGCCCTGAAGGAAGCAGTGAGCCCCAAGGACAGAACCTGCCTGCTGGCCTCTGAGGAAGCGAAGGTGGAGTGTGGCCACCAGGGAGGTACTCATGCACAGTCTCCGTGTTGGACACATTTCCTTCCTGAACTGTGCAGGCAAATAGCCTGACTGACAGGGTGATAGTAACAGAAGGACCAGAAATAAACTGGTTGGATGAATTTAGGAAGTGTGCCTGATGAGCACACAGCACCCCTTGAACATCCCAGGTCTTGACTTGGTTCTGGATATCCTCCATCACCTTTGACTTGCTTGACAAAGATTCCAGGACTGAGGGGTAAGTGGAAAATAGACCCCAGAGGCCACTGATGACGTCACGCTGCATCATCAGGCCGAGTCATAGGTGAGTATCAGGTGGGTATCTGTAGGTGGGACGGTGACTGCAACCATGAAAATAAAAGACACTTGCTCCTTGGAAGGAAAGCTGTGACAAACCTAGACAGCAGAGACACCACTCTGCTGACAAAGGTCTGTATAGTTAAAGGTCTGTATAGCTATGGTTTTTCCAGTAGTCATGTATGAATGTGAGAGGTGGACTATAAAGAAGTTTGAGTGCTGAAGAAATGATGCTTTTGAACTGTAGTGCTGGAGAAGACTCTTGAGAGTCCCTTGGGTTGCAAGGAGATCAAACCAGTCAGTCTTAAAGGAAATCAACCCAGAATATTCATTGGAAGGACTGATGCTGAAGCTGAAGTTACAATACTTTGGCCATCTGATGGGAACAGCTGACTCACTGAAAAAGACCCAGATGCTGGGAAAGATTGAAGGCAGGAGGAGAAGGGGGTGGCAGAGGATGAGAGTGTTCGATGGCATTACTGATTCATTGGATATGAACTTGGGCAAACTTCGGGAGATGGTGAGGGACAGAGAAACCTGATGTGCTGCAGTCCATGGGGTCTCAAAGAGTTGGACAGGATTTGGCAACTGAACAACAACAATAGCAATGGTCATTAGTTCTATGATGGCATCAATCTTTCGAGTTGTGATCAGTGGTTCTACCTTTTTCAAATTACATGATAAGAAAGTGCATCAAAAATTTCTGGACTTAGATGGCTCTTATGCAGAGCCCATCCTGGCCTCTGGCTGGCTCACTGCCCCTTGGGGTCCACCTCTCCATAATGGGCAAGGCTGTAGCAGAGATTTAACAGCCTGCCACACTAGATGGTATGTTTCCCTGGGTTCTAAACTCAGAGGCGCCCAACCATTTCCAGTAATAAATTTGGTGAGAAAGTTTGTGTGCGTCAAGCTCTGAATAAAATTACTCTTTCCTCTGAGTTTTATCATTTCTGCCATGCTGAAGAAGCGTGGCATTTTTTATCTGCTTATTCGGCCGTGCCCCCAATATCACAGCTAAAACTCAGAAGACTGAGATAAGGAAAAGGGCAAAATAGAATGGTCAGAGAATTCAGAAGGCACATTTTCCATGCAATTATTTTTGTAATGGCAGAATAAACCCATTTATATAATGGAGTTACACTAATAAATAGTATATTGCGTTTTCCTATTGGAAAAGTAATGAAAGGATGATGTGAATCTGATCTGTAGGAAACCAGGTTCAAGAAGCTGTTTCTAGAGTCCCAAGGGAAAGTTGGATCCTCTGATTCCTTCCTTTTCTTGGAAAACCCAGCCTGTCTCTGTGACCTCAGGGTCTCTGTGCCCTTGTTCCAATCAGTAGTGAGTCAGAGGACTCTTAACAACGTCTGCAAGCACTAATTTAATCAAGCTTTTTGGACTACGTGTGGCTCCTACCTTAATTATACCATTGCCCCTTATATTAGGATGCTGAGAGGTGGGGGGAAGTGGCCCAGTGGTCACCTGCTGGCCTTTTTTGCATGTAAATCTGACTCTTTCAAGGGAGGGAGCCAGGTTCAGTACAATCCCCAGGGTGGTCACTTCCCAGGGAACCAGGCCCTGAGGAGCTGCAATGCCCCATGTTGGGCGAGAAAGAGTTCTCTGCAGCTGGAATTTTAGCAGCAAGTCCTGCAGTGACTTGTAATTCAGTTTTTATTTGTATAGGTTCTATTGGGGGTCAGAGAATACATAGTTTATTTACTAAAGTCATAGTAACCTTTGATTATATGCATTTTCTTAAACAACCCAATCTAATGGGCAGCGTGGGGACAGTGGTTAATAATACTGTATCATATTCTTGAAATTTGCCAAGGAGTAAATCCTATGTGTTCTCATCACAGGAAAAAAGTCAGGAAGGTGCCTGTGAGGGGAACGGGCTCGTCAGCTGGACGTGGCACTCATGTCCCCGTGTGGACACTTGTCCAGCATCACATCGTGCACCTTGAACTTATACAACTTTTATCTGCCAACGATACTTCCATAAAACTGGAAAATAATGCTGAGGACCAGCTTCCAGCTGCCCATGTGTGATTCAGGGACCCACAGAGTCTGGAAGTTGAGGTGGGCCCTTGCCTCAAGGACTGGGTTTCCTGCTCTGGGAGACTTCTCAGAAACACTAAGGGTGATGCTTGAAGACTTCCAAGTATAAGGCCTCAGAGCACAAATTTACTGATGAGTTAGGGACTGTCTAGAGGAATATGGCACGTTATTTGCCGGTTTATCCTATGTGTGGGCACCTAATGGGGTGCGGATGTCTTCTTGAACTGAGCCACAGGGACGCCCCCAGTCTTGCTTGCCAAGCCTGCCAGGTGACAGGAGGCACTGGGGTGCAGCTGGGGGATCTGGGATGCTGCTTGCAGCCCCGGGGAGGGGGCAGGTAGCTCTGGGTGCTGTGGGAAAGGGGCCTGCAGGCAGGTGGCTGGCTGTGGACTGGTGATGGAACCGGCCCCCCGAATCTCCAAGATGGAGAGATATTGAGGAGGGGCTGTGAAGCCCCAACAACACCAAGAGTGAGTGGCATGCCAGGAAGGCCCAGGGCTCTGTGGGTCGCCTGAGAGGAGGGATTCGGGCGGTGGGTGGTGACGGGATGGAGTGGGGGCTGCCTTGATGCCCAGGCAGCAGCCCTGAGGGGGCTGTCCCAGCAGGAGCCAGTGAGGGAAGCCAGGCCCCAGGGGGCTTTCAGGTGCTGACTGGATGCCTCAGACCTGAGGCTCCAACAACCTCAGTGAGAGGACATGGGCTTTTGTACCTGCCGGTTTGTTTGTATCTATGACACACACGGGGCAAGTAGACCAGGGCAGGTGACAAGGAAGAATTTCCCCTTAGGACCTGCTGGGCAGTGAGGGTTTTTGGCTTAAAAACACACTCCACATGCAACACAAAACAAAATAACACAACACAAACAAAAACCTGTATATGAGACCTGTAACCATGAGCTTGCACTTTTAATTCATATCCAGTTAGAGGATCCATTACAAAAAGCAGTCTCTGAACTTCGATAGAAGACAGTGGGTACCATTGGTGGGTACCATAGCCTCTGGCTTTACAATTCCGGCCCCACGAACACCACTTGCTGGCTTCCAGTGGGGTCGGCTGAGATTTAAGTGGAAAAGGGGCTTCTAATTGGTAAGTGACTCCTGGCTACTGAGATCCGCCCCTCACGACGACAGAGTAATGACAGCCTCACGTCACCCGATTAGCTCCTGAGGCACCAATCCCGTCCCACCTGGGTTCGGCCCAGTGGTCTCTGATCTCTGTGCTGTGGGGGCTCTAGAGAAGGATGGGGAGGTCTCTGCCACCAGGCCACTCACAAGAGGGGTCTGTGCAAATGAGCAGTGACCCGTGCAGGACGTAGTTTCAAACCAGAGCTGAAGTCCGCAGGCAGCCTGGGAGGTCTGCGGGCTGCTGGGGAGGGGGCGGGGGAGGGATGCTTTCTATTTGCCCTAAGGTTTACTCCACAGATTGATGCTAATCAGGTCCCCATCCCAGAGCTAATGAAGAGTCGGCAGCCTGGCCTGCGTTCAGCCCTCTCTGTTTGTCCCAGAGCATTTAAATCTAATCACCAGCGGGAAATAAGGAATGAACAGAGCATAAAAGTGTCCCTCTGGTCTCTGCAGCGTGTTGGCAGTGAGGGAGGGGGAGGAGGAAGGATGGGGGAGGGAAGGGGAGGAGGAAGGAGGGAGGGAGGGGGAGGAGGGGGAGGAAGAAGGAGGTGGGGAAGGAGGGAGCGGGAAGACCACAGAAAGTCCTGGGCTGAGCCGCGTCCCCAGCTGCTTTGTGCTGAGCTGTGTGGCCGTGAGGAGGGTGCTGTCCCAGGTCACTATGACCCCAGATCACGATGGTGTCCTCACTTAGCTGCCCCAGAAGATGTCTGGGGGCCTGTGGATGACACGGGAGTCAGGAAAGGGGACAGAAACACCCTGTGGATTGTCCTGAGAGCCTTTGGGCTCGGGTGGGTGCAGGCAGGGAGGCCACGCAATCCCAGCTCCCCCAGAGCCCGACCCGGCTCCCAGAAAAGCACGTCTTGGATTTGTTCAGGTCACAGGCGGGATGGAAATGAGCTCCTGGGCTGCAGCTTTGCACATCCGCATTTAATAGACTTTCTCCACTGATAAAAGACCACTAATGAGTTCATTTTCAAGCTATTAAATTGGCTATAATAGCGGGTTCTGCTGATGATTGCAGGAGACCTGCTGGTCGCACTGGGCTTTGTCTCGTGTTAACTGTGTGCTGCCCGGCACTGTCGTCCACAGGAGCTAGCCCCCCGCCTGTGCCCTCACCTCCTGACTCAGAGGTGCCCACACGGCCTCCTCTCACACTCATGAAATCGCTTAATCAGTTCACTTGTTCCTGGAGGTCTTCAGTCTGGAGCCAGAGTATCAGCCTCCTGTGGTTCACAAAGGAGGGACGGGAATTCACACTTAACCACTGGGTCCCCTGCCCTCTGAATGGTGCTTTATCCATGGGGTTTTGCCTGCAGTTGTGAAAAAGGCCTGGAAAAGACACTTCCCTGGGATCTGCTCATCTACCCTGGATCCTCAAGCAAGGGGTGGGGCTGCGAGCCACACGCTCGCTGGTGTGGATCCTGGGCCCTTTCCTCGTGCAGTTGAAATGAGTTTGTCCCTTGTGCGTCTGTGGTCATCACGACATGAGCAATTAGTGACTGGCCTCTGCAGGTGTCTGGCTTAAACTCACGTCTTCATTTAAAGGCCCAGTAATTAATAGCAGGCCTGTGTGCTGCCTCCCCTGCCCTTTTCATTAGGAGGGTCACAGGGCACCTTCAGAGCATTGCACAACGTGTCCATTTAGTATCATTTGTTTTTAGCTCTTTAAGCAAAGGTGCCCAGAGACTTTCAAGCCTGGCCAGCCACCAGTTAAACTGATTGCTGATTATTATTATTGCCTGTTTTCCTTTTAGAGATTGTTTTATGAGGAGGAGCCTGCAGGTCAGAGATGTTCCACTGCCTGGAGATAAACATGCAATAGTGAGTGACTGGGGCTTGCCCTGCAGGGCTGTGGCCACGGCCCCCTGGAACATGGCTACCTGGGAGGGGCAGTGGGGATAAGCACCTCACTCACACCAATTTCTCTACTGTCTCCCTGAGCAGCCCAATTGGAGATCTGGGTGGAGCCAGGTGCTTCATGAGCGAAACCCTAGAACAAGGCCCCCTTCAATTTCTCACAATTCTTTCTGCCAGCTGAGCTGGAGCTGGCTCACTGGTGCCTCAGTGAGCCTGAGATGACTTTGCCATTTATCCGCCTTCTCACACCTCTTACTTGTTTTGTTGGAGGAGTTACCTGTCTGTGAGGTCATCTCCTGGGACAGGGCTGTGGGTCTGGGGCTGGGTGCGTCGGTGAGACAGGCCCTGGGAGGGGATGTGCTGCCCAGCCCTGCTGGCTCCTTGAAGCCCCTCTCTGGTCTCACCCATCACCTCCCTCAGCCCCTCCAGGCCCTCCGTGGCTCTCTGCCCAGCACACTGTCCGTACACGGTGCTCACATAGAACGCGTCCTGTCTTTCTCAGTAACACGTTCACCTGCCCCCTGCCCACATGTGGGACCCAGACCTGCCTGGGGGCAGGTGGCTTTCCTTGGAAGTTCTACACAGGTCTTTGCAAAGGAGGGAAGGAGGGTCATTTTTAGTGACTGGCGCAGCTCTTCTGGGTAAAAAGCTGACAAGAATTATTGGGTACATGAGGGGCAAGCAATCTGGGATAGCTGATGGGTGTCAAGACAGGTACTTTCAGTTCTGTCCCCTGAGGCCACGGCGCGGTCCGGCCACCACCAGCAGGGGGACCAGAGCCCTGGGGCCCCTCTGCCGCCATCTGGTCCACAGGTGCCTCGAGGCCAAGAACTCTTTCCCCTTGTGTGCTAGTGCTGGCAAAGTCCCTGGGCACAGGAAGGGCCCACCAATGTGTGGATATTGCCTTCAACCTTATAACACAGCTTCAAAGATGACAACAAGAAGACACCAGCTCTGTAAAGCCACACAGGAACCATTGCTGCCATCAAGGCCACAGACATGTCCCCTCCAGCGTCCCCTTGACCCCCTTTTTCACTACTATGGCTTTGTGGTGAGGACACGTCATGTATGATGCATGCCCTCAGCAAACTCAGTGCACGATACACTGTATTAGCAACTCTATTAATGTGCTGTCCATCAGATCCTCCAGTGCTTATCCTTCTGCCCCATGGAAAACTTGTGCCCTTTGACCTCCATCTTCTCAACCCCCTCCCTCTTCCTGGGCAACCACCATGATACTCTCTGTGCCCTCAAGGTCCACCCCTGCAGTAGAGACCTCAGGACCTTCTACTCCAGGGGTGAGCTATATCCACGGCATGGGCGCTATTCACCCGTCAACCCTCATGCAGCCTGTTTCCACAGCTAGGCTGTTGCGCACACCGCCCTGGCCATGGGGGTGACACAGTCACCTTTTCAAGGTGCTGATTAAATTCCCTGATACACTGCATCCAGAAGTGGGGTCATATGTATTGTTATCCTGAACTCTCCGAGTCATACATATTAAACACACACAGCTTTTTAATGTGTCAGAAAATAAGTTGAACCCTTTGCTTGTAAGTTGTAAAGTTATAAAACCTACCAGAAAAATACCAAACACAGGAGGAGAGGGGAAAGGAAACCTTCCTCCACAGGCTCCTCTTTCCCTGAGTTCTCGTGGTGATTCTCACTCAGTCCACCGCTGAAAGGGGCTGGCATCTCTGTCTCACTCTCTGGACCATCAGCAGGCCCGTGGCCCAGGGCTGCCAAAACCTGCATGACTTGGTTCCTCTTTCAACTCACCTTAGGACGCATGGCTGGAGACCCTAGACAGTTGCAGAACATTTGATCCCAGGGGGAAACCCATTCCCTTCCCTTTAGAAGTCTCCCATCTGAACAACATTCTCTCTCCAGTAGTGATTCTCTCCCCTCGAGCATTGCTAGTAGGACCCACATCCCCTGAGCACCGCACTCCGGACAGTTGGCGATTCCCACATGCCTGCAACGGGAGAACTCGGCTTCCGTTGGTGTCCTCTCCCTTCTGTCCTCGATGCCCGGTCCCCTCCCCTCTCCCTGGAAGCAAGGCCGTCCTTGTGTGACAGTCTTAAGACAGGAATATGACACGTACATTAGGCTGAAGGAAGGGAGAAAAAAATAATTTTGCCTTTGGCGTAATTTCAGCCCAGAAGGATAGGATTCATTCCAGACGACCTTAGCTCAAGGTGACTTGATATATTTTCCCAGCAATGAGATTTTTTGTTATCTCTCACACCCACCCTTTCCCTTCTGTGCAAAATCCTGCAGTAGCAAACAAACAAACAAAAAACAAATTAAAAAAGCACTTTAAAATAAATAGAAAATAAATAATAACAATGACAAGCCCTGGAAATGCCTGGTCCTCCCATTGACACAGGAGGCGTCCCACACAAGGGGTCTCACTGGCATACAGGCCAGGATGGCTGCCTCTCTGCTCTCACCTGTGCTGAGCCACCCCTGACTCCAACATCGAAAGAAGGGCCACAAGTCAAGGCACCACAGGGCTGAGGTTCCTCAAATCCAACCTACAGAAACTGCAAGGCCTTTTCAGGACTTAACCGTCCTGACCCTCCTCCAGGCCCCATAGCGCCTGTGCTCTGCCTGGGATTATTTGAAGCAGTGGCTGCAGGCTCGTTCTGGAGGCAGGCTCTGAGGGTCCCTTGTAGGGGGCAGAGAAAGCAGGAGTGGGGAGCAGTTGATGGCTCATACTGATCTGGGGAGGGGGCTGTGTCTTCTGTTTCTCTGCTGGGGGGCAGGGCAACTCTACATGAAGCAGGAGTGATCCTTCGACATAGGGGCACATGTGGCATCCCCCAGATAACCGTGGAATAGTAGAAGGTGCTCCTGAAATTCTGTTGAAATGAATACTTTACAACAGTGGTAGCAGTTGCTTAGTAGTGATCACTGACTATTAATATTATTCATCTTTACAGCTCCAAGGCAGCCACTCATTTATAGATGAGAAAATCAGAGCCAAGAGAAGCTGAACATCTTGTTCAAATCAGGAGCAACATTAAAGCCCTAACTGGAGTGAATTCAGAGACTCTTCTGTTAACCCTTAGTTATCCACCTGACTCTCTACTTAAATGGAGGTGGGCAAGCTATGGCCCTGGGGCTGAATCCAACTATTTTTCCTGTTTGTTTTCTTTCTGGTTTTGTGTGTGTTTATGTATGTGTGTATTTTATCACCTGGAAGCTAACAATGCACCCATTTTTAAGTGGGTGGACTTTGAATGGCTTTGTAAACACCTACATAATATCCTGATTTTGCTTCTCAACCTCCAAATCTATTTACTCCATAAAATTTACTCCCGGAGGACAAGTCTGCTGAACTCTATTTTATTTTATTTATATTTTTTGCTGAACTCTGTTTTAAACTGTTGGTATGTAGTGGCTGGCAACTGAAAGAAATTTTCTTCTAAGCTACAGGAGTGTCTGAAGTTTGGATAAAAGCCACTGACAACGAGTTCACCTATTATGGCACATACTGATTAAATGACTTTGAGCAAATCAATAGCGTTTCGAAGTTACAAAGGGTCTCATGCCAGCTCTTCAGTATATGTACACCAGAGACAAAAATAACTCTGCTATCAGACTAACATCTCAAGAATAGGGATTAATGGAAGGAGACATATGCAGGGAAAGACATTTACAATTAACCAACAAGGAAGCAACACAGTTCTTGGAAACCTCTGGGGCAGAATATGTTCTGATCATAACCGAAATGTGTGTCGTTACCCAAAATCACTTTGTGAAAAAATTTTAAAGCAAAACTATGAATTTCATGATTCTTCAGCAAGGTATCCTTACATATTTTTTTCTATTCTTATCACTACTATTTTGATGTGGACATCCACAAAGGTGTTCTTCAAACCTGGGGATTACCCATGATTTCAAAGAGAAATTTGAAAGTCAGCTGCAGCCACACTCTGATTTGTTCAGAATCTCAAGGAAGACAGCGCAGCCCCCAGAAACAAAAGTGACTTTTAAAGAAGGTGTTCATTTTAATTAATTTTGATTTGAGTAATCTATTAACAGCTGAGTGTGTCCAGGTTCCAGGGCTGTAATCTTCCTTGTCCACGAATGAAGCTGGACTGGTCGTTATCGCCTGGTGTTGGCTTCAAAGGTGAAGCAGAGCTGGCGTGCCCTGACTAGCCAGTTTCTGCTGCTTTACGATTAGAGTGCCAGGGCCCGTGTCCTGAGCTCACAGGAGAGATAAGCTGCAGCTGGGCTGGGCACCGGAACAGCCAGCCAGCGGTTTCGCACAGCCCAGCAGAGTCCACGGACTCAAGCAGTTTATTTCTCCAGGCTTACAAATTTGATTACTATAGAGTACAAAGCTATTAAAAATATGACCTTTCTATTTTTCATGCCTTGGCGAAAAGCCAGATAATAACTTTGTTTGACTTGGTCGGTATGATAGAGTGCTTATTCAGATGGAAATAAAATGACTTTTCTTTACTGGAAATTATACCTTGAAGTCTAGATGTCCATCATCGGCATAACACACAGACAGACACGTTAATTCAGGCTTGAAAGCAGCCGAAGCTGTTAAAGAGGGAAGTACAGCGTTTCCATCTTCTCGAGGGGAAAATGAGTATTTTTGTACAGATGTCATCAACTTAAAATGGTAAAAGGCAAAACTATTATTCTAGGACAAGTAAAGTAAAAAAATGTTGATTACACTGTATTATCAGAATATCAAAATGAGGCTTCATGGCAGCCTTGAAAGCAAATAAATAACATTTTATCATTAGACCACTGTCTTTTCCTAGACACTCAAAGCCAGGCAAAGCAAGTGCATTTAGTACATCAGCCATGGCTTTAAGTGGAACATTAGAAAATACCAAAAAAGCAATGGTTTTATTTTCCTAAATGATGGATCAACATGTGAAAGTTAATAAAACCCAGTGTTGCTATATGCCTGCGTCTGTGCATGCTAAGTCGCTTCAGTTGTGTCTGACTCTTTGTGACCTCATGGAGTGTAGCCTGCCAGGTTCCTCTGTCCATGGGATTCTCCAGGCAAGAACACTGGAGTGGGTTATTGTGCCCTCCTCTACGGGATCTTTCCGACCCAGGGACTGAACCTATGTCTCTTTTGTCTCCTACATTAGCAGGAGGGTTCTTTACCACTGAGTCACCTGGGAAGCCCAGTGTTTCTATGAGAGCTTACAATGAGGGAAAATCCATTGGGCTTTGTTGTCCAGTTCTCATCAGGAGAACAGGAGAGCAGGTTCCTTCAGTGTGTGTCAGCGGAAAGAAAATGTGTCTACCTCAGGACTTCTTGGAAGAATTTTATAAAATACCCTTTTCCTCTCAGTCGGGCAACAAGCAGACCTCTGAGGTCTGTGAACTTGCTTCCTCCACTGGCAGCCTTGCAGTGGAGTGCCTTTAAGCCTTCTACTGAGACGGGTTAGTGCCTGGGGCCTAACATTTTATTTTTTCGTTATTACGGGATGGTGCGAAGCTGGAATGGTGAAATAGGGTGCAGTGGAGCTCAGACAGCTGGCGGCTCCCCTGCTCTCAGGGGCGGCCCTGTGTTCCACAGTGGACGTGATGGCCTCCTTCCTGCCCTGTGAGGCCTGTCCAGCATCAATGGCCACCTGGGAAACCGTTCCCCTGGAAGGAAATGCTGTGTGGGCTCAGCCCCAACAATATAAGCCTCATGACCCGGAAGCACTCACTTCCATGGCCCGGTAGCACTTGTCTTGGAAGCAGGAAGGGGTGGAGACTCCGGGGTCACTGGGGCAGGTGGGGGGAGGTGGGCGTGGCCCTCTCACTGAAAGGGTCTTTCCCTGAAACCACAACTCTGGGTGTGGCCACTGGAGCCGTCAGTAATCCGAGTTGTCCCTCTGCCAGTGAAGATGCCACAGTTCCTTCAACAGGAGGCAAAGGGAACTGTATGGTCATGCCCACTTCCTCTGTCCTTGAGTTTTGGGCAGAGAGGCCACTGACCCCAGTGCTCCCAGATGTGGGCAGGTCTGAGGGACACGTGGTGTTCACCAGCACTCTAATGTCCCTGGATGTGGTTACTGGCCAGCAAGGGTCTGTGGGAGTGAAGACTTGGGCGGGGACAGGCGCTGATGGCCACTAACTTTTGGTAGAGGAGCCACCCTCAGAGTAACCTCTGCTGGTGGGCCCTAGTGCTGCTCCTGTGTCGGGAACCTGAGTGTTTCTTTCAGGGAAAAAAGCCAACAAACAGGGGTTGAAGGAATTAGCAGGGCGCGCTCCCTGCCTGCCTGTCCAGCTCCGCTCAGCCTGACCTCAGCGTTGTCTCACCTCTGGATGCAGCTGGCTACAGGCAAGGCTACTTCAGAGGCGGCGGAGGGCTGGGGATCCCCTCCCTGGGGGCAGAACCAACCTCTGGCACAGATTCTCTGAAGGGAGGGCTTCTGTCTGTGGCCCCCTCATGTTCCTCACCGCTCTGAGACTCCCCCTCCCCCATCATATGGCCATATTTACACCCAGGAGGATGCCGTCTATGGCCTGCCCACACTGGGGCACCTATGTTCTAGTTTTTCTTTTAGCACATGTCCTATAGGTCAGTCATATAATTTCTCTGTAAATTTGAAGAAAAGTGGGCTTATGTATTTTTTCTCATTTAAGCTCTTAAGAGTGTAGCTTTACTTTAAAAAATCCACCATCATTACTCTCACCCCTTTACTGCTATTCAAGAACTAGAAAAAAAAAATTGTTCAATGGATATTATAACATTTATTGTCTATCAATATCAACTTTTTAAACAAGTCTTCTATAAGTAACAAACTAAAGAGAAATTGCTGAAAGCCCATATACTTACAGGAAATGTTGATATAGTCAACCAAAAATTTTGTCATCATTTCTAGAAGTGATTTTTACACCAATGAGTCATTTTTTTCCAGGTATCAGTGTCACTAAGTTTTAAGAGAGGTCACTTACCAGGGCTGAGGCAGTTAAAATCTGTGCCTTGGTGATGGACAGTAATTCTATGAATTAAAGAAATAGGATAAGGGCACTGTTTTAGTAGAGAAAACATTGCAGCAGGCTCCACAACAATAAAAAAATAAAATCCCTAAAAATCAATTGCAGGCAGGACTTCTAGCAATGGCCATTTGAAGAGATCAACAAATCCTTTCCCCAGGAAGCCGCTATAACCCTGAACATGCCGTCCCTCCCTGCAGGGTGGCGATTCTGCCAGGGCCAGGACAAGCTGTGAAGACCATAGCCTATGGCTGCACTCAGTGGTTCATTTCATTTGGAGCAATTGATGATGTGAAATAGTCAACAAAGGAAGTAAAGTAGCACACTCAGTCATTCAGAGAGGGATCTGAGAAACAAAAAGGCAGGAGACAAATGGAAAAAAGATAGCAAAATGGCAAGTGTAAATCTGGCCATATCAATTACATTATATATAAATGGTCTAAACATTCAAATAAAAATGGCACAGTTTATAAGATTAGATAAAAAGATTTAACTATAAGCTGTGTACAAGACACATGACACAGATTCAAATAAAAGTAAAAAGAATGGAAAAAAATGCATACCATGCAAACAGTAACCCTAATCTCTTGAATCCATACATTTGCCATATGACATAGTAATTTCACACCCAGTGGTCTGCCCAGAGGAACAAAACAGTAGGGCCACATACAGGCACCAAAGGGAATATTCAGTTATTTTTGCAGATGGGAGTTGGGGTCAGCACATGTGTCCATCAACAATGAGGGGTAAACAAGGGTGGACCATCTATCTACCTCATGAAACACCAGGCAGACAACAAAATACATGCTACAATGGGGGTGAGTCTCAAAACTGCACTGAGGGGAAGAAGCTAGAAGCAAACCACTCCAAACTGCCTTGTTCTATTTAAATGAAATTTCCCAAAGAGGCAAATGCAGAGGCAGTCTAGTCTACTCCTGGAATCCCACTTCCTCCATTTCACTTCCACACGAATATAAACAGTGCATTTTGGGGAACATTTTGGTAATAGAACCAGATTTCACAAAGCCCACTTGAGCCCATGTTTTTGCCACTAGCCAGAGCTCCATCTTGACCC